CTCCGTTTTTGTATCCGATCATGTTCCGATTTTGCTGGCTATTCGATGGGTATTTGCTATCCGATTGTCGGAAGGAAAAACGGTCCGCATTTTAGACGAGATGCTAAATGCCACTGGAGGCTCCTCTTACTGCGCACGCTCCACCTGAAATCGAATGTTTACGTCTGTTACGATAGGTTATTAAGTTAAGTAAATAAGAGATTTCTTCATTGATTTAAAAATTAATTCATCAGATAACTTTATACTTACCATTAATTTTATTTCAAAAGCGTATGTGAATACTTTACCTATAATTAAACTAATGCAAAATGCATATCCTATTTGTTGTCTATAAAACAAACATAAAAATGTATTTCTAAATTGTTACAGCTCGGGAATAGAATAGATGTATCTACAATATACAAATAAATACCCTGAAAACTTTCGCTTGAGGTTTTCAGGCTCTATGATGTAGGATTGTTGGTGCAAGCAGCGTAACTTCACGGACACATTTCAAAATATTTGACAAAAAATCCAGTAATAAGTCAGAGTTTTAGAACATTTAAATTGAATTACTGGCTGAGGAGATATTTAAAAATTGAAAACATAAGACAAAGGGGTGAAACATTAAATGGGGGTTTTCGTCTGCCGGCAAGGCCTGGCATTCTTGTACCCAAAGATCTACAGATACAGCATCATTGTTATGTCTTTTTCCATCTCTAGTCTCAATATTGTAACTGCGTTTTATATTATCAACGTCCTTGAAACTTTGCAAATCTATGCGTTGCAACGAATCCTGAATTTTGTCTTTGGCAAAATCTACAATCCTCAAAGCCAATTAAACGTTTGTTAACAGTCATGCCTATATGAATAAATTAGTATACATATAATTAGTTATATACGTTTTATAGCCATATACAAAATTTCGTAGGTTATAATCTGTCACCAAAATAAGTTCACTCACAACACACATGGAATGCGATATTAGACATTATAGTGTTTTTCATTACATCATCAGTAAAGTTCAACATCTTTGACTATAAAGTTTCTAGTTATCTACTGTTTCCCATAAAAAATGGTAAAAAAGCATTGAACAAAATTTTAGATTGATATGTATTGACAGATACAAAATTTTATAGCGTAAATAACATACAAAATATAAATGTATTAAATAGTGTTTTACCTCGTCTTAGTTACAACAGCTATTAGTTTTGAAGCAATTAGTTCTTTGTCACGATTTGAAATTCTTAAGTGTTGTAGATCTAAATTGTGGCAATAATGTGTTTTTTGAATATGCACATATAACTTAATTTCATTATGTCTCAGTTTTAAAACACTCGTGCAGGCAATACCCACTTTACAACTTGCCTGACTTTTCAGCTGCCGTACTCTCTGTTGCACGTTCCGTTTACCTACCAAATTAATATTGTTTTAAACAATAACAATAGGAAACATATATGTATACAGGAAGTTTCATTTATAATTACTTGTTTTTGTTCGATTACAGTTATAATAAATAACTTTTCCCTCTTTACTGTTCCAAGTTCTAGCTACAGCGTTCCTTTTCATATTCATATTTAGTTTTCCAACTTTCTTAATCTTAAATTATGAAAAATGGATCAATTGTCTATAGGTAGGTACTCTGGGATAAAAAGAAAACTCACTACTATTACTGGTAAATACTATTTCCTCTGGCTCATCAAATAATAAATGATGCTCTTCCCACATAGCAAAATGATATTCCCAGAATATACCTGGAACATTCATGTGATGTACATGCATATTCCTGGGATATACATGAGTTCCATTATGAA